CCATACCATACCATACCATACCCTACCATACCATGCCATACCATACCATACCATACTCTACCATATTATACCACACCATACCATACCATACCATACCATACCCTACCATACCATGCCATACCATCCCATACTATACCATACCATACCATACCCTACCATACCATACCATACCACACCACACCATACCATACCATACCATACTCTACCATACCATATCACACCATACCATACCATACCAAACCATACCCTACCATACCATGCCATACCACACAATACCATACCATACCATACCATACCAAACCATACCCTACCATACCATACCATACCACACAATACCATACCATACCATACCAAACCATGCCATACCATACTCTACCTTACTATACCACACCATACCTACCATACCATACCATACCATACCATACCATACCATACCCTACCCTACCATGCATACATGCCATACCATACCCTACCATACCATGCCATACCATACCATACCATACCATGCCATGCCATGCCATGCCATACCATACTATTTATAAAGCATTAAAAAAGCAACAAGGCCAACCAAAGTGTTGTTTAATAAAAAACAAGCAAGCAGAGTATACGGAATAAAAATTATAAATCAACAGAGGTTAAAAAAGAAGAAACAATTAGAACAACTAGATTAATAGTTTCAGTTTATTTATATTTATATAGGGCCAAATCACAACAAAGTTGTCTCAGGGCACTTTACAGGAGCATTCACATACATAAGAAAGCCAATTAGTAAAGTTCTCAATCTAAGGAAGCAACACAAACACAACAAGATTAATAACTAATATGGAGGTTCTGAGGAGAGCCAACTGCACAAGCACTGAATCCATGGTGAGGACTAGTCGTTTTTGCAAGTCAGACCATGTACATCACATGGATGATGACCAATTTCCAAAGCAGCTCTTCTTCAGTGAGCTAGCTGAGGGGACAAGATCAAGAGGCTGAGCAAAAAGAGATGGAAAGAGGATGGAAAGATCTTGACTTTGACCATAATTGGTACAGGATCACTGTAGACAAAGAGAAACGGTGCCACAAAATGTGGCAAGACAATAATCTGTCCACGGCCTATCTAACCCTGAGGCTGAGATGACACTGGGTTCCTGCTCATCACCAGTAATGCAGAC